GTGAATGCATAGATTCAGGAAGAAAGCAACCTGCTTCAGAGAGTCTGAGGTCCAGAGCACTTGAAGTATGAAATGAAAACCTTGCGAGTCTGCCCAAGTTAACAGGTGAGCTCCCTATTCAGAACGTTTTCCCGTTTCCCTTAGGAAGTGGACGATCTCAAGCCTCTGAAAGGGTGATTTCCAAGCTGAGCTACCCCAAGAGCACCAACTGCTAGCTGAAGGGGTTTAAGACCATCATGCTTCCTGAAGGTGGCTGGAAGAGATGGCCACAAAAAGTGGCAATTAAAAGGGCCCATCTTCTTTCTACCTAGTAGACTGGAAGAGTTCCTGTGGAGGGTTTGCCTTGGATCTAAAGCATCTGGTTCCTAGCCCATGGTGAACATATTCCATAGCAGGCAAGCATGTCTCTCCCCCTCCCAGAAAGACTTGAAATCCATCAGACCTGTGCAGAGGCCTTGGTCTTGTAGTTTTTTTTTGTTAAGGGTTTGAGCCTGACCTACAGCAAGCAGCACTTCACTGCAGTCCTGGACCTCCCTTCTGGTCTTGAAGGAGTTTCTCATTTCCAAGTCCAGAAAGAAATTAGGAAGACTAGTTAACTCCATTCAGCCAACTCTTCTGGCAAGGACGGCAATTTCCAGACCCTGTATTTGGGCTGCACAAGGATGTGGAGGCACATTCCTAGCACCCTTCTTTCTCCAGAAATCAGCTACTCCTTATTTAGAACCACTTTGGCTTAGTTGCGGGAGGGAGTTCAGGCACTTGCCCAAGTCACAAGAAAGATGTTCTACTTCTTAGTTTAGATCAGTAGTTTTCAACCTGTGGGGGTCTGTGGACTATGTCTAAGCTGTCCGCAAAAGATGACTATGATTAATCAATGCCACGCTTACAATTCAAATGGGTCTGCACCACTAGAAATTTTTTAGGGGTCCACAAATGAAAAAGGTTGAAAACCACTGGTCTAGAAGCAAGGCACCCATGTGTAGATTAGTATTCTCCATACTAAAGAAACTCTTTGCTATTCTCTCCATCACTAAGGTTGCTTCACACCCATTGCACTCATTCAGTACAATATACTGAAGTAACAATGCAGGCTTATTTAAGATTACATGCCATAAATAGCTTCTTCAAGGTTTCCACAAGTCCCTCCCACTCATCACCCTACAGTAGTCAGGCAGTCAAGAACCGAATCACAGAAAGGTCATGGGTGGGGTGGACCAACCCTGTGCATCCAAGTCACCCCATCCTGTCTCCCATGTCACCACAGCTGGCTGGGTACACCCTGGATTTCACAGGACAAGAGGCCATCTGGAGTTGGGAGGGGACCACGTGACTCATCTGCAAGTGAACAGGGTGGCTAGGACTGTCTAAAATCTTTTTGTTTCTTTATCTCCAACAGGTGAACTGCTGGGAGAAAAAGTAAAGGTTAGAAGTTCCTTCCATAGGAGAGCTAGAGGAAACTCAAAGGAGGAATGAGAACTCTTAGATGCTTCGTCAATTAGATAAAAGATGATCAAACAGGGGGGTGGGAGGAAAAAGCATACAAGAAATCCCAGGCTGGGTGCCACTTCCCTGCATCTCTGCTGCATTGTTGTTTGTTAAGAAGGGAATGAAGGAGAGGATGAAGCAATCCAATCAGTTAAAGTATTTTTAAATACACACATGCGCACGTACACACACACAAGCCAGATGGGTCATAGGCCACAGAATAATCTGAAGGAAGCAGCCTGCCATTGCTTTGCCTTAGAACAGGAGTCTTCGCTTTTCATGGTTGGAGAACACTGAAGGGGCAACACATGGGAGAAGGAACTAGGGAAGAGGGAAAGATAACATTTGCTTTAGGTTATGCTGCTCATTAGAGACTCCTTGGGAAGATCAAAGGAAAAACAAAGATTGGGTATAAAGGAAAGCAGGTACCTTGCAGAGGCATGGAGCTCAGAAGATCTCTCTGCTGCAGGGAAAGCTATTTTAAGCCTTCAGTGGCATCAGTGAGAGTTCAGTCTCTAAGAGAAACCTTGAACTGGAGCGTGCAACATCACAAGCAGCATGTTGCCTCTTTGGAGGAATGGATGATGGAGGGGAGGGGGTGGAGCAGGAGGGAGACGGAGGTCTTGAGAGAGATGCATGATTCAATCTGGAAACACACCCAAGAAATCTGAACTTTAAAATGGGTCTAATCAGGCTATGAGATCAAAGCCTAAAACATCCAGCAACAAAACAGATACATAAGCCTCCAACTCCATCTTGGTATTAGAAGCTTTTTCTATTGAGAACACATAGGTCAGTGATTCTCAAACTATTTAGCCCCCAGGTACTGCTCCGTATTGGAAGCGGAGCTGCACCCCATTTAAAAACCAAAGCTTGTTTTATTGTAGTGCTTACCTGCTTAACTAGGGGGCAGGAAGGAGGAAGAGCAGCTGGCAGGGAACAGCCTGCACTTCTCATCACTGTGGAATCACTAACCTCGGCATTCAATTAGCTGACAGTGGGAAAAGCCACTGTGAAGACTACCAAAGTTGCAAATCTGCAGCTACTAGAAGTTGCTTGTAAGAAAATTCCACAGGGGCGCTGGAAACTAGAGTACCCATTTCAAAACCTAAAGCCAGCTACAAGCAAATTTGCACAGAACAGTACGATTCTTCTATAGGTTTTAGACAGTCGGACACCTGTGTAGCATTGGGATGGCACACCCCAACTCCGTTTTCACACCCGAGAGGTTTCCAGTCCAGCAGTTATGTTTCCAATAAGTAAGGCCACTGAGCACCACAGAAGTGAGAGATAAACTGGTACTGAAAAAGGTGGAGGGCAGGGGAAAGAATGAACCCTTATCTGGCATGGCAGATCCTCTCTCAATGCACTTTCTTCTCCATGAAGATTACGCTGCATGCAGGAATCTAGTGGGGATCCAGCTTTACCTCCAGCTAGAAAAGGGGCCCTTAATACCAGCCTGCAAGTACATCAGGAAGCCAAAGCAGCCTAACACCTGGCACCCTACACCTGCAATGCTGGACAAGCAAGTATTCATGTACCCGGTGTTCTCTGTACCACCTAATGGGGAAGCAGGATCAAGAACTGAACCCCTCCGTAGACTTTACATGCTGCATTAGCTTAATTAAACAGGTACCACCCCTCAGTTTGTGACTGAAGTCAGAGTGGCACTATACTATAATGCACACGCCTCTTAAGAGTACCTGGCATCACTTTAACACTAGCTAGAAAGCTACCTCCAGCTTAGAGACGCACGCCAAGTCACACACCCAAGGCAATTCTTTGGTAGAGTGGCATTCGTAAACCAAAATCAGAGCATTAAAGTAAAAGTCATGTTCCACTCCATCGTCAACTCCTCCGTTTCTTGGGTAGATGGTGCCTAGTTGCAAGATTCATCGGTTCCACAAGAGAAACAAGAACAACAATAAGGTCTTTTAGATGTTTCAAGTCCCCCCTTGGCTCCACCATTTTGTATCTGGCTCCATCACTCATTCCTGCACCAGCAAGCACAAGACAAGGTACCATTTTATATCCATTTTGCACCAGTGTATATAACTCCCTGAGTCAGGTACCCAGGTTGTAGCAGTATTGGTCTAGAGGAAAAAGCAATCAGGATTTGCAGTAGAGGTGAATCTTTGGGGTGTTTGTGCCCAAAAGCTTGCAATTAAAGAAACTTTTTGGCAAAAATTTAGTAGATCTAATCACCTCTACTGCAAGTCCTGATTACTTTACAACTCCTTGACGCTCTTGAGAATCAGGCCCCTTGGCTGCAACTAAGCGTGCCTACACGCCCCATTTATTTTTAAACATTTGAGGTTTCTTTCCTCCTCTCCTATTCCATAGCTAATTACTTCAAGCCAAGGTGCGCTTGGAAACCAGCACACTTGGGAGAGGATGAAGGCACAGGAAGGCAGATTGCCTTGCACCTCTTGCCTTCCTCCCACCACTTCTTACCAAAAAGCTTTTCAAGTTTCAAAGAGCCTGTTGCTTAGAGCAAGGCTGCTTGTTCCCCAGCCGGGGGTCAAGTCCAACCTGCGGAGCCACAGCATATGGCCCCGCAGGGCCGCACACCAGGCAGGTGGAGGGGACACTGCGGGAATTAACATTGCCACTGCTCCACCACGTCCAGATTTCTGAACCTACTGCATCTGCCCCAGACCAGGCTCCCCCAGGGACAGGCCTGGCCCTGTCCATCCAGGGTTAAAAGCTCGGGTGCTGCCGGTGCAGAGAAACAATAACTTTGCGTGTCAGTGCTCTCCGTGACGCCTCCTTACCCGCCTTTAGAGGGGGGACACCAAGCCTCCTGGGGACACGGCAGGGCTTCTCCAACAGGGGATAGACCAGCCTGCGGCTGGCGATTGAGGTCACCGCACCCATGGCCGTGGCAATGGTTTATGGCATCAGGAGCCTGGTGCATCTCAGAGGCAGCACCCCCTCCTCACCTGCCTTCGCATCCAGGGATGCCGAACGCCTGGGGGGCAGGTCCAGGGGCGTGTGCACATCTCCTCTGGCAGGAGACACCATGCCGTGACATCAGCGCAGCCACGTCACAGCACGGTGACATCAAGCCAAACCCATTGAGGGCTCCGGCAGGAGACACCAATGATGCCCTGCAACGCCATCAACGCAGTGACGTCACAGCACCTGACATCACCACATCAAGCCAAACCCATCAATGGCTCTGGTAAGAGACGTGACGCCATGCCGTGACATCAGCGCAGCAACATCACAGCACTGTGACATCACCAGGTGTCAGACTCCAGCTCCTGGAGGTGCTGAGTTCCCTCATGAGGGGAGAGCCCCTGGGGCCACGGACCGATGACGTCACCCTACCCGAGTGACGTCACCTCCACTCGGCAGCACTCCCCCCCACTCCAGCGCGCGGCAACAACAGGCGGTGACGTCATGCCCGGCCTCCGAGGTAAAGCGCGTTAACACCCCCCTCCACACACACACACAGACAGACACACACGTTGGTGACCAGGAGGCGGCGCCCTTGCCCCGGGGGGTCTCACCTCGGCGAAGTAGAGCGTGAGGAGGCAGAGGCAGGCGAAGAGCAGGCAGACGGGCAGGCAGCAGAGCATCCAGCGGGCGGCGGGGCCGGGGCCGGGGCCGGGGCGCAGGTAGCCCGAGAAGAACGTGGTGCGCAGCGCCGCCCACAGCAGGCAGAGGAAGAGGCCGAGCGGGCGGTAGCCCAGGCGGCGCTCGCGGTAGCGCAGCAGCAGCCAGAGCTGCGCGTAAGTGAAGAGGAAGAGCCCGGCGTAGAGCGCCGTGTGCAGCGCCGCCAGCCCCAGCCGCAGCGCTACGGACAGCGGCATTGCC